CCTGGCTGTCCACCAGCCAGTCTTTGTCCTCCCTTCGTCGAGCAGAAGACTCCGATGGGCAGGACCTGGCTGCCCACCAGCCAGTCTTTGTCCTCCCTTCGTCAAGCAGAAGACTCCGATGGGCAGGACCCTGGCTGCCCACCAGCCAGTCTTTGTCCTCCCTTCGTCGAGCAGAAGACTCCGATGGGCAGGACCTGGCTGCCCACCAGCCAATCTTTGTCCTCCCTTCATCGAGCAGAAGACTCCGATGGGCAGGACCCTGGCTGCCCACCAGCCAATCTTTGTCCTCCCTTCGTCGAGCAGAAGACTCCGATGGGCAGGACCCTGGCTGCCCACCAGCCAGTCTTTGTCCTCCCTTCGTCGAGCAGAAGACTCCGATGGGCAGGAGCCTGGCTGCCCACCAGCCAGTCTTTGTCCTCCCTTCATCGAGCAGAAGACTCCGATGGGCAGGACCTGGCTGCCCACCAGCCAATCTTTGTCCTCCCGTCGTCGAGCAGAAGACTCCGATGGGCAGGACCCTGGCTGCCCACCAGCCAGTCTTTGTCCTCCCTTCATCGAGCAGAAGACTCCGATGGGCAGGACCTGGCTGCCCACCAGCCAATCTTTGTCCTCCCCTCGTCGAGTAGAAGACTCCGATGGGCAGGACCCTGGCTGCCCACCAGCCAATCTTTGTCCTCTCCTTTGTCGAGCAGAAGACTCTGATGGGCAAGATCTGGCTGCCCACCAGCCAGTCTTTGTCCTCCCTTCATCGAGCAGAAGACTCTGTCGGGCAGGACCCTGGCTGCCCACCAGCCAGTCTTTGTCCTCCCTTCATCGAGCAGAAGACTCCGATGGGCAGGACCTAGCTGCCCACCAGCCAATCTTTGTCCTCTCCTTTGTCGAGCAGAAGACTCTGATGGGCAGGACCTGGCTGCCCACTAGCCAGTCTTTGTCCTCCTTTCGTCGAGCAGAAGACTCTGCCGGGCAGGACCCTGGCTGCCCACCAGCCAGTCTTTGTCCTCCTTCTGTCAAGCAGAAGACTCCGATGGGCAGGAACCTGGCTGCCCATCAGCCAGTCTTTGTCCTCTCTTTCGTCGGGCAGAAGACTCTGCCGGGCAGGACCCTGGCTTCCATCCAGCCTTGTCCTCCATTCGAAAACCTACTACCTCGAAAACTTACACGGGACCATATAGCTCGACCATGGAACGCTGAAAAGCTAAAAAAATACTACAGTTAAACAACACTGCCCGCGAGGGACAACCCGCGCGAACAAGAGGGTGGACTGATACGGCCACACCTCACCGACCATACCCTAGCAGGCACTATACCTCCCCAAACAAAAAGTGAATAGCCCGCTCGACGGCACCCCCTCGATCGAGAGTCGCCGCCGCAGTATCATAATCGGCCGAACGCCCAGCTCGCGATGGGATGTTCAAGCCTACAGGATAGATCACAACCGTGACCTAACTCTTGTCCGCCCAGGAAGCTACCCCGGGCATCCGGATAGTTCCCCACACTACCGGGCAACACGCACCGAGCAAAGGTCCTCCACAAAACAATAAACATTCACATCATAATGGAGCTCGGCAAAACGAGCCAACACTTAGCGAAAAAGCATAACAATCATGCACGCACACAAAACTTAGAAAGGAAAACAAGAATTCCATAAAAGCGACACAAGCCCAGAAGTCAAAATGTTATAATAAACGGGCACGACCCCGGATGTCGAGCAGAAACGATCGAAGGTGTCGAGCAGAATTTTTTTGGATGTTGAGCGACTGCAATTTCGCCCTTCCCGGATGATCGATACGATCGACGCCATTCTCGCATCCTGCCTGACATATCAGCGCGCGCAACGCTATTCTCTACTTAAGTCATAGCTCTCCTGACAGCGAACTACGACTTGGGGGGCTCCTGTTCTGGACTGGGCCGAGGCTTAGCCCACAATCGAGAAGGCCCAAAATCCCACTGAGGTTGTGCCCAATTGGACCACACTGATGAGCAGGGACCCATGGGCAGAACCTCCTCCCGTCAGGCAGGTGCCCATCCCGTGGGCAGAACCTGTGCCCATCCTGTCGGGCAGAACCTGTGCCCATCCCGTCAGGACAGAACCTCCTCACGTCGGGCAGGTGCCCATCCCGTGGGCAGAACCTGTGCCCATCCTGTCGGGCAGAACCTGTGCCCATCCCGTCAGGACAGAACCTCCTCACGTCGGGCAGGTGCCCATCCCGTGGGCAGAACCTGTGCCCATCCTGTCGGGCAGAACCTGTGCCCATCCTGTCGGGCAGAACCTGTGCCCATCCCGTCGGGAAGCACAACGTGCCTTCCACACGTTCTCCGCGTGCTCCCCTCCGCGGGGACACGTCATCAACCAACTGCCCACCTCCGAAAGAGCAGGTCAAACCCACTTTCCGGAGATCTAGGAGCAGTTGGACTAGGGCGAAGACCACGTCCTGGTCTTCACTACGCCACGTAAGCCCTAGCAGTCATTTGAATTGGGCCTGGCCATCCAGTCCAACTCAAATGACCGTTGGCCCAGCGCTGGGGTCTCTCTATAAATACCCTCTTCCCCAAGAGGGCCAGGTAATTCAATTCTCTACCAACTTTCTGTATTTGCTGTCACTCTGCCCATTTTCTCACTTTGGCATCGGAGTGCCTTGCAGGTACACCCCCTCCTCATCCTCCCCACCGGTGAACAGGAAGCAGCCTAACGGAGCGTGGCCATCCAGTGATCCCTTCTGATCAGGTCAGATCATATATATATATATATATATATATATATATATATATATATATATATATATATATATATATATATATATATATATATATATATATATATATATATATATATATATATATATATATATATATATATATATATATATATATATATATATATATATATATATATATATATATATATATATATATATATATATATATATATATATATATATATATATATATATATATATATATATATATATATATATATATATATATATATATATATATATATATATATATATATATATATATATATATATATATATATATATATATATATATATATATATATATATATATATATATATATATATATATATATATATATATATATATATATATATATATATATATATATATATATATATATATATATATATATATATATATATATATATATATATATATATATATATATATATATATATATATATATATATATATATATATATATATATATAACTATGTATTTATGCGCTATACTCAGTAAGATATGATCTGTCTCCCCATCCTTTAAGGTTGGGGGTATTTATAGAGATAATTTGGGCATATGGTTTCCCTAAGAATGATAACCTCCTACTCAGTCAATAATAAACCGTTGACTCCCTATTTCCTAGGGAGATGTGGATTAGCCTATTGACCCTGACTTCCATCTGATTGAGAAGCATCTTTTCTCACGTTTCAAAAGATTATGTGAGTAAGGAGTTGTTAGGGCATGGTGGCCCCTAATGGCAGACGCCATATATAAGTCACCCTTTAAGGGCCATCGACAATTTTCCTATCCTTATTAGGTCTTTTTACAAATACATCACTACATATTCTAACTAAGTTGCACGAGTGATGATCTTGGAAGACTGTATTTATTGTAAATATATGCTAACTTGTGTAAACTTTTTGATGATATATGTTTTTTTACACTAAAAACAATATATAATAAAACAAAAAAAAAAATTAAACACTTAACAAGCATTCCCAATCAACTTAACATGACTAATTCTAGAGAGTGTCAAACCAAATTTTGTATCATAGCAACCAACTTGTTAACTTCGTCCATTCATAAGTAATGTTAAATAAGACATGAGATTTCACATTCTTTACTTTTATCAAGATACATGACATTATTTTGACCTCACACAAAATTAAATAATAATAGGTCTCACATTTTTCCATTTTGTCTTACAGAAATAAAGTTACTTGATAAATAGTGATAAATAGATAGAGAGTATCTTAAACTTGTGGTCGATCCAATTAAATACTACACATATTAAGTGTTTTTTAAATTTATTAGTCATAAAAGATTGAATAGAGCTAACGACAAGTCTAAACCAAAATTACAAAATTATACCATTGTTTAATGGTTTTAATGAAAACCTAGAGGAGAACTTTATAAAAGGGGAAACAACTGCAAAATTTTAAGAGTCGCATCTACTTTATTTCTCAAACTCATATCAAGTCGTTGAATAATCAAAGAAAAATCTATATGTATGCGTAGCAACTTTCATGAAAATGAAGGAAGAAAATATTGAGGTTGGTTGGGCTTTGTAAGGGATCACAGGATAGAGATGTTCTTATCATAATAATGAGTAGTTATTTCTATTGTGTTATTAATAAGTCAACTAACATATATGGAGCGACAAATAAAGCATAATATAATTAACTTTTTATAATATGACAAAATTTTAAAGGTTATTCTTTATTTTTAAATAAATATTTCTATAATTTATTATATTTATTTTACATACTTACTATGAAAAATTACTAATTACTATTTTTGTAAGTAAATATTATTTAAAATTAAATATAAATATTTGTGAACTAGTATATTTTAAGATTGAAAGTATCACACTACCAAACAAATTGGTACCAAAATCAATTAACAAGATATAAAAACTTTATACAAAGATTTCGAATATTTTTCACTACTTTAGTTTAGAATTAAAATTAGGAGCATGTACTCAATTTCAAATCATAAAAAAAAAAGTAACGATCAATCTAAATTCCATTTCCCCCTCACACGGCAAAATTATCGTTTTTCAAGAACTCGCAACTCACACAAACAACCATTTCCGTGAATTTAAATACCACACAGAATCACTTACTACACTTTCTATTCATCCTAACTCCATTTCGTATCAAATAATCAAAATCAGAATAAGCGAAAACCTAAAACCCTAAATCCCCAAATTGATTTTGCTGGACATGCTCGTTGTCGAAACACTTGGTTTTGATCAATGGGTGTGACGACTAGCAACCGCAAACGCTCAGAGGAATGCATGTCCGTCAATCACAATCACACAATCGCTCCTCCGTCTTCAGATTACCGCAGAAAGAGACTCAAATTCTCATCCGAATCGACGCTAATCGTTTCAACTTCGTACGCCGCCGTTTCGAGGATTTCTCGTTATCCCGACGTCAAACCGCCGTTCGTTCGTGAAGTTCACGCGCCGTGCAGACCTAACAAATTCAACCTTGCTAGAAAGTTATCGAGCTTGGGCGACGATATCATGGGGAATTTTCTGGTGAGGAATTATGAAAAGGCGAAGCGTGCTGCATTGGGGGAATGCAGATTTGTGTCTCAGAGGGAGAAGGTGGTGATCGATTTGGATGTAGAGAGTAGCGGTAGGGAGGTTTCGGATGATTCCGGTGTGATGGAGGTGATTGAAGTGGATGATTCGGAGGTTAAGGTTGGGGGTTTGGAGGCTAAGGTGGTTGAAGTTGGTGGTCAGCGGAGGTCAACGTCGTCGCCGGACTCGGCTTTGACTAATGCTATTGTGAACTTAGAGGAGCATGATCTTTCGAACGTTCATGTTTATAAGAAGTTGCTTGAGGGTGTTCAAAGAAGAACGGACACGATTCAGAGTCTGAATTTTCAAATTGAGCTGAATGAGAAGCGCAGGGAGACGTTTCAATTGTTGCGTCCTAAGAAGGATTTGGTTGAGGTGATTGTTTTTTTTTAACTGATATGTTTTCGTTGGTTTGGTTTTTCATGCCCTAGTTTAGTTGTATAATTTTGTGTAGTAGTAGTACTAGTAGTAATGTGCTATTTTCTTAGTTCATATTTAAGTTTAAGGTGAATGCCGTCTATGTGAGGTAGATTTCTAAATTGTGCTAACTGCTGTTACATAGCAATCTTGATATTGCAAAGTAGATTTTACTAATGAACCTCAATTAGGGTTTAGACACGAGCTGACTACAATTCAAAAATATTCTAATGAGTAGCAAGTGTTTGATGAAAGGAAATTATTTATTATATGGAAAAAGCATAAATGAAAATACTTATTGAGGCTATAGGTAGCCTAAGTTATTAAACTCGGCCGTTCCGACCATTATCTCGGCACAGAACTGCAAAACCAAGAAAACCGCGCCAGGCCGTGCCTTTCCTTCACATATGGTGACTCGGCCGGGACGACCATGATACTGGGATTGGATTCAGAACAATGCCTTTATGATGTTGCCTCTCTGGCCATGTCAGTCATATATGATATTACCCTTAAATATTTAAGGATAGCAAAGTTATTTTATTGGCATTTGGAAGTATGTTTTTCTTAAGACTTGTGGTTTCTATTTCTAAATATAAATACTTCATGAATTTTGATTAATTTATTTTACTGAATGTTACTCTGATTTACAGGAAGTCCCGTTTGAGCCTTTTGTCCCTCTAACAGATGATGAAGAACATGAGGTTTCTTGTGCGTTTTCTACCAACAGGTATGATTCAATGATTCAGCTATGTGTTATTGAGAAGTGTTTAATCTGTAGTTTAGCTCACTGAGGATTTGGTTTTACAGGAAGAAAATATTGGTTGCTCATGAGAGTTCTAATATTGAGTTATCGGGAGAAAAGATCCGGTGCCTTCTCCCAGGTGCATGGTTAAATGATGAGGTGATCTTGTTTGTTCATTGTTTTTGGTTTTTTAATTTTGCTGAATTACTGAAAAAAATAATTTTTACACATTATATCATGATCCAACATTGTTGCACCATTAAATATTGTGATTGATTTACCTTAATTGTGCAGGTGATAAATTTGTACCTTGAGTTGTTGAAAGAGAGGGAGCGGAGAGAACCAAAGATGTTTTTGAAATGTCATTTTTTCAACACATTTTTCTACAAAAAGGTAGGATAACTCTTCCCATAACTTTAGTTTAATGTTGCCTTAGAAAAATAATTCTACCTTCAGATGACTACTAGTGTTAAGAAGAGGGAACCATTTTCCTCTTCCTGGAACATTTGTTTATCTCTATATATTAATATGCATTGCTCCAAGACCCTATTATAGCTCATAGCTAACATAAAATATTGATTTGCTCATGTATATACGGGGAATACTAACCTCCAAACCTTTGTGCATAGTTTAGCATCCTCTTTATTCAAGTTGGACATTAATATGGTTTCAGATCCAATAGCAATGACTATTTTGGTCAATTTCAAGTAACTTGCATCTGACTCCCTACAATTTGTGTTCTTTCTTTCTTCTTATCTACCTCTTTTAAACTCTTAATGGAAAAACCTTCACTGTTTTATTAACAAATGCCTGAAAATATACTCCGTGTTTGGCATTTGTTTTATAATATTTCAATCAGCATATTCAGTGCCAACTATGCCACAAGGAATAGAAAAGGATTTCTTCATTCACCCAATTCATTTTAATCTTCTTGGATGTTGAAGTTTGTTCCTTTGACACTCTACTTCCTGCACCTGAAATCGAACCTTGACAGAGAGCTTCCCATTCAATAGCTGCACTGCAGTATCCCTGATGTTTAAAAAACTGGATTTTTCGTTATTTAGAACTCTTCAACTTCACCAAGTCATTATGACTACTTAAAAGAAGCAAAACCACCATTTTCATCACATCGCCTAACAGCCTGATAATTTTAATTTCTTTTTAGATTTTTACGATCTCTAGATTCTCTATAATGCCTTACTTTAGTTCAATATTGTTTTAAGAGTGTTGGTAACAACCTCTTTCCAACACTCCCTCTCAATGGGTGAATTCCTGTGGTCCCCCTGCTTAAGAATGGTCCCACATGAAGCGATACTCCCATGAATTTCACCCAATACTAGAGGTAGTGTTGGAAAGAGTAAGCACTTCTCATATTGTTTCATTTGGCACAAGCATATCCTATAACTATTTAAATTGACATGGAATGACATATGATAAGAGGATATCTTTTGTGTGGGGAGTGTAAAATTTAACGTAAGAGGAGAAGGAAGTGCAAGCCAAGCTTCTCTTACGGGAGGGGGTTGTACTTTTCTCATTATCAACTTTATAGAAATAAAAACTATACATTACGTGATCATAAAATTCTATTTTTAGAGTGTCGGCGCACATGATTCACATGACGTTATGCAAAATTAAGTAATAGGTTTATTAAGTAATTTTCTATATTAAGGTGTATCAGTGTGGGTGTTAATTTTTTTAAAATTTTTTATACTTACTATATACAATTCAGTCATATTGGTCAGATATTGATTCTTTTTATTTTGAATGTTGATTGCCAGTTAATAAGTGGCAGGGATGGATATGATTACAAATCTGTCAGAAGATGGACAAGTCAAAGGAAATTGGGATACAACCTGTTCGATTGTGATAAAGTAATTATGTTTGAATTGACTCATTTATCTGTTTTTTTAGCCAATTAAAATGGTTTTCCCGTTGATCATTTACCTGATTTGTTGTCATTACCAGATATTTGTACCCATCCATCAAGAAATCCACTGGTGCCTGGCGGTTATCAATAAAAAAGATGCAAAATTCCAGTATCTTGACTCGTTGAAAGGAAAGGATAACCGTGTGCTAAAAGTGCTGGTAAAGCTTCTGTTCTATATAGTTTAAATGTCATTTTCCAAGCTGCATAGCAGAATTTATTACATATATGAAACCAAAGACTAATATACATGTATACATGTTGTAACATTTGACTGTTGTAAGATTTATCTAATGTTTATCATTTGTGTTTCCCAGGCTAGATACTTCGTAGATGAAGTAAAGGACAAAACTGGGAAAGATATTGATGTAAGCACGTGGGAGAAAGAATTTGTGAATGACCTTCCTGAGCAGGAAAATGGGTGTGTATTCTGATCTTCTGCAAATCATGATATACTTATCATTTAGTTTAGTGAGCTTTTGCTTCACTCTTTTAAAATGAGATATTTGCTATGAAAACATGGTTGCTTTCCAACATTTTTAACTGAAACCTATCAGCCTGTCTAATTTCATAGAGAAAAGAATCTAGTAAGTTTTTCTGAAGTGTCCTGAATCTTATAAATGTGTATTTTACAGGCTCTCATACTACCATTACATAATGAATCTTTTTCTATTTTTCTTACAATTTAAAGTTAAAGTTAAAATTTTATAGTGCTGATAACAGACATCGGAAAGGGAATATTTAATTATTACCAGGACAAGTTGCTTTAGGCTTTGTTTGCGAGTTGGATTTTGGAGGGCAGGGCTTAAGCTTCATTTTAAATTAAGGGCACTACAAATGTTTTTAAAAATGAATAAGCGTGATTGAAGTATTATATGATCAGTAGTTTTGAATATCTTTGTTTGCACGTCTATTCTCTAAACATGAGTTTTGCCACTGAACAGGTATGATTGTGGGGTGTTTATGATCAAATATGCTGACTTTTATAGCAGAGGCTTGGGGCTATGTTTTAATCAGGTAATATATGAATCAATTTCACTTTCTAGCTGGAAAATTTTGCATTTGATGCTTGTATATATTGTTGTTGAGGTATTTTCCTTTTCTCAAGTGTACAACTCAACGGCCATATTAGTTGAATTCGAGAGATGAAAATCAATTGCTCGAAGTATTTTAATATCAGAAACACTGCAACTATTAATAAATTTTTGGGGAAAAATTTATAGCGTTTTTAATTGCTGGAAATATTTTATGCTTTATAATCTGTGGTCTTTGTATATTGTGCACAGCAGGACCAAAATTAATCTAATACCATTGTTTCCTTGCTAGTTTAAAAGATCCATATCATGAGCCTCATGAGTCTGGAAGAGGAAATTTGTTTTGATGGATTACTACTTTCTACATCTTGTCATAACTGAAGTTCTCTTTCCATTTATAGGAACACATGTCTTACTTTCGGCGCAGGACAGCTAAAGAGGTATTGAGATTGAGAGCTGACTAAGCAAAGTAGTGACCATTTATCAGGATCCCAATCATTTACTCCTCCTCAACTTAGAAATTTTGGCAGTACTAGTTGATGGAGGATCCTCACTTTTGGCAATTTCGAAACAATTCATTCTGGAGTTGAAGCTTTTGTTTACTTGGAAGCTGAACTGACTACTCATATGATCCCGGTGTTTAGGTACAACGGTCGGTAGCGTAGGTTGCAGTAAGTTGTATATAACAGTATACACGAGTGAATTATTAGATGACATTGAGGTGTTGACTATATAAAGGAGATATTGTTTTGTTGCCATTCTCTTTCTCTTTAGTTTTGCATTGTTGGTTGTTAGAATGTAGTAGTAGGTTTGCTCAGATAGTGTTTGATATTGATTTCTTAGGTAGTTATTTTTATGGCAGGCTCTACAATTTGAGCATGGGTCAAAACTGATTTGAATAAATTTGATTTTGTTAACTTGATATTGTTAAAAGTTGAATTTGAAATGAAGTGATTTTTCTGATATGGTTAAAGTTGAATTTAAAATATTTTTTTGGAAACGTATAGCAAATATTTGAGCATACTTTTACCAATTTAAGTGGTGCTTTTTGACCGTAAGATTTTCTGATTTGTTATTTGTACTCTCTCTCTCTCTCTCTCTCTCTCTTATCTACCTTCATATATTGTTTGGGCATACTTTTACCAATTTAAGTGGTGCTTTTTGACCGTAAGATTTTCTGATTTGTTATTTGTACTCTCTCTCCCTCTCCCTCTCCTCTCTCTCTCTCTCTCTCTCTCTCTCTCTCTCTCTCTCTCTCTCTCTCTCTCTCTCTCTCTCTCTCTCTCTCTCTCTCTCTCTCTCTCTCTCTCTATCTCTCTCTATCTCTATCTCTATCTCTATCTCTCTTCCGCCCTCCCTCCCCCTCTCTCTCTCTCTCTCTCTCTCTCTCTCTCTCTCTCTCTCTCTCTCTCTCTCTCTCTCTCTCTCTCTCTCTCTCTCTCTCTCTCTCTCTCTCTCTCTTCTACCTACATATATTGTTTGGGCATACTTTTACCAATTTAAGTGGTGCTTTTTGACCGTAAGATTTTCTGATTTGTTATTTGTACTCTTTCTCTCCCTCTTCCTCCCCCCCCCCCCCCTCTCTCTCTCTCTCCCTCCCTCTCCCCGCCCTCCTCCCCTCTCTCTCTCTCTCTCTCTCTCTCTCTCTCTCTCTCTCTCTACCTTTATATATTGTTTGGGCATACTTTTACCAATTTAAGTGGTGCTTTTTGACCGTAAGATTTTCTGATTTGTTATTTGTACTCCACCTCTATGTAATTGTGTGTGTATATATACGCATGAGCGTATACATATATTAAAAATCACCATCATTGTAGTTCTTTGTTGTAACATTTAAAAATCACTGTCATTGTGGTTTTTCGTACCCAACATTTAGAAGGTGCAACGGTTGCACAAAGGACGTTACTTTAGGAAGCGAAGACAAAAGATTACAAGGTAATGTACTTCATTCATCAATATGTTGATGCCGACAACTTTGAGAAAATTGGTGGTTGTACATCTTCAAAGAAAACTTGGAAAATTTTGGAGAAAAGTTATGCAGGAGTTGATAAGGCAATGATGGTAAGGTTACAAACTCACAAAAAACAGTTGGAATTAATTAAAATGGAGAAGAAGGAAACCATTAGTGAATTTAATATGAGAGTTTCAAGATTTGTGAATCAAGTAAAGTCATAGAGCAGTATGTTATAGCAAAAATCTTGCGTTCTTTGACGTCAAGAATTTACAATGTAGTAGTTGTGATTGAGGAATCGAAGGATCTTGTAACAATGAGCAAGCTCCACAAAGCTCTCTTGAAGCTCATGAGCAGAGAGTGAAGGAAAGGAATGTCGATAACGTGGAGATTGGTTTGCAAACATATTTCAATGAAAGAGACAAGAAGGCTAAGGGAAAATGATCCATGAACAAAGGTAGATGAAACTTTCAGAATTTTGAAGAGAATTCCAAAATTCCAAAACTTGATCATTCCAAAAGGGTGAAAGCACTTGCAATAAGGCAGGTGGATCATAGAACTCTAGAGGTGGCAACATTAAAGGAAGATGAAGAATAAAAGAAAAAGAACTTATTTTCCTCCGACATGTCACACTCTATCTAAAAAGAAAAATAAAAGTTTTTGCGAGTGTTTGCATGGTATCAAAGTTTCTCAAGGTTACTCATCAAATATTAAAAAACTTATATCAACAAAAGATTTCAAGTTAATTGGATTAAAATCATGATAGTGCATCTGAGACAATTAAATGGTTGTCGTACATGCCAAAATTTAATGTGATAACTTGGAATGCATACAACATTTCTAATTTGTTCCTTTTATACAAAAGTTAAATATGATTGTAGTACAATGAAAAATAGCGGGGTTATGTTTGAGGCCGAATCCATGTATTTCTCTACTTCTAAAGATAAGAATCCTATATTGGCATCTAGCTCGTTCTATGGTGTCACTCTGGAGATTTTTGAGATTGATTATGTTATTTTCAAAGTGCCTTTATTTAAATGCAAGTGAATTCTCAATAATAATGTTGTAAAAAATGATAAGTTAGGATTCACAAGGATTGACCTTGTCAAGACAACTTATATGTCTGAACCATTTATCATAGATACTCAAGCAAAACAACTTTTTTATGTGACAAACTTTGCGGACTTATCGAGGAGATAGTCAATTGTTCTCCAAAAAAAATACATTCTCTATAGTTATGAAAATTTTGATATTCCTTCCACTCCTTCTTACGTAACACATGTACATACTTCATATGAAGAAGTTAATAGAGATGGTGTGCATGTTATTTGTAACGATCATCAAGAAGGCATATGAGAAAATTAACAAGTAAGTATTCTTTATTCTTTATTCATAATTTATTGTAAGTTATAATTTCTAAGGTTATTTACTAACAAATATATTATTATTTCAAATTATAGGTGTTTAAAGTCAAGACACGAAGACATTAAGATACTAATATTTGATGTAATGATGTTGATCTTGACGACTGATCAGAATCTGGAGTGGGTCAGAGACAAACGCTTGTGATGCTGAGTGTGAGAGAGGAGGAAGGGGTGTACCTGCAAGCCACTCTAATGCTAAAGTAATAATCGGGAGAATGAAGAAAAGTACAAAATATGTGTGTATCAGGGTAAATTTTAAATACCCGAGCCTCTCAAATGAGAGAGTATTTATAATGTCTCCAGTGCTAGGGGTAAACCGGTCAACCTTCCCTGTTGGAGGGGCAGAAAGGTAAATGCCTCCCTTTACATAGCTGGACTAAGGCAATTGGACCGTTCTGGGAGTAAAAGTGGATTGGGTCATGCCTAACCATTGGGCTAGTCCGGAACAGATGTGCAAGTTGTAGATTGTTTTGTGCCATTTTAGTTTTGACGTAATATACAATTTTTGGTTCATAATGAAATTTTGTCTTTGATGTAATACAAGTTTTTGGTCTAATATGATTCACAAATGGGTGTTTTGTTGTTTCTGCTCTAATACGATTCAAAAAAATTCAATATATATATATATATATATATATATATATATATATATATATATATATATATATATATATATATATATATATATATATATATATATATATATATATATATATATATATATATATATATATATATATATATATATATATATATATATATATATATATATATATATATATATATATATATATATATATATATATATATATATATATATATATATATATATATATATATATATATATATATATATATATATATATATATATATATATATATATATATATATATATATATTTCACGGCAGTTGTTTAATACAACTGTTTTATAGGATGAACGCTATCCAATATAATAAAAGCCAAATATGGCGTTACTGAGTATCGAATCCAGGACCTATAAATAATTTCACAATGGTTGATTAATACAATTGTTGTTATAAGTAGTGTGCTTTCCAATTTATTACAATAGGCAATAAACCATGGTTGTAAACTACACACTTATAATTACACCGTAACTCACAACGATTGGTCAACCGTGACGGTAACCCTTTACTAACCGTTGTGAAATATGTGTTCCATAGTAGTGTTAGGTGATGGTGTTCCTCTTCTTCATTATCTCCATCACCAATAGTGACAATGTGTGCTGGTGAAAAAGTATAGGGGATGTGTGTTCCCTTTGTAAGGGTAGGGAGACTCAAGGGCTTAAATTGGTAAATTATGATTTCGTAAGTGAGGGCTTGCCCACGGAGGCGAGAAGCCATGTATGGTGTTTGTTGAGGTTATATGAGGGACAAACTGTAACACCCCGAATTTTAATCGGAATATTTTAAATTAATTATTTAATTGAGAATATTCATGTTTCGGTGAATTTTCGGTGATTTTGTGAAGTATTGGAAAAATGTGCATTTTTGGATATTTATTTGATTAATAGCATATAATATTAATATATTAGTAATATTATTAATTAAAATGAATATAAGTGAAATAAGGGTAATTTGGACATTTGAGGGAGTTAGTAAGGGTAATGTGGGAAAAGCCCAATTTGTGAGGCCCAAGACTAGGTTTGACAAAATTGAGTTCTAAAGGAAAATTAGATTCATTTGTGCTAACCGTGAAAGTTGGTGGCCAGAGTTCTGAAGGAAAGGTTGGAGGCAGAAGATCCCAAAGTTAATTGTGAAAGCTGCGAATTGACTAAGGTATGGGGAATATCGCTTTTCATGATTTTCCATGTATGCCTTTCGATGTGTTTATAGTGGGGTTAAGGTTTAAGGTATTTTGGGTTGATTATGGGAAAATTAGGGAAATTGATGATAAGACTCAGAGGTTATGACTAGTGGTAGGTATCACTGAATACTTATACGAAATTAGGAAACCTTAGGCCTTTGTGGCCAAAATCTTAGATTATTATATGTCTGACCATAAAGGATAGGAATATGTGATATGAGAAATTATGATGCCTTTGTGGAGATTGTAGGGAAATTGGGATT